AAGTGGACGTGTTGGGCGTCATACACAGTGTTATCATTATGAAAAGGGATAGGAGGTATGGGAAGTGACCGTTTGTACGGATATTTGTCTTTTTACACACACACACACACACACACACACACACACACACACACACACACACACACACACACACACACACACACACAATGCCGCTAGAGCAGGTTTGACTGTATCTCGTCGTAACTCTAACATCGCTATGAAAACCGCTTCCCTCTGTGAAAGGCGTAAGATGTTTTCACATGGGTGGGATTAAGTTACGTACCTGTATTTGTTGCTTTTCTCTTTCAATAAATTGTTTATTTTTGTTTGACCTACATTAATTTTCTTTCCAGTCGAGCTCAAAGAAGATCAAGGACAACAGCCCTACCTAAAGTACCTAAGGCTATATTATATTCATATTATATTTATTTATTCCGTTACACAATTTACTCCTTGTCATAATGTTATAACTTCTATTTTCAAGACGTCGAAGACGTCACTAATAGCATGGTCATGTTTTGTTGAGAACGAACGAAGGGACACACTCAGACTATTGTGTTCAAATTGTACCCGAGTTGTTTCCCTTGAAAGATACATAATCCTTGATCGATTCGAAAGTTGGCTCCAACCAGACTGCTCCAACCTGCGGTATATGTGTGTGGGGGGGGGGGGGGGAGGGGGAGGGGGTGGCACCGTACTGATAGATAGATAGATCGATAGATAGATAGATGGATGGATGGATGGATGGATGGATGGATGGATGGATGGATGGATGGATGCCGTGAAATGTATACTCAAATGAACAAACAAGCACTGTCAGCTGTTTGTTTGGGCTTTGACGTTTAATGGTAGACTTACTGATAACACCAGTGTCTTCTTGACCAGAAGTTTGTAGTTTTGAACAGTCTGATGAGTGGTGGTTTTCTGAGAAAATAAATAGTTTGAAAGACTGAATTTCGATTTTGGATAAAGAAAAGCACATCGATGTAGTGGCATAATTGCACGAAAAAATAATAAAGACAGGAACAACAATAGAGGGAAAGGGAAAAAGTAAGACCTGCCATCGGACATCGCAAGGCTCATCCCATCCACGATAAGAAAAGTAGTTATTGATTGAGTTGATATTTTATCGTGCCGTGGGAATAGTTTGTTCATGTATAGTGCCACAAACAAATGTTCCTAACATTCTATTGATTGAAACTATTGGGCCTTTAGTGCATGTACAAAATACGACAAACGGGGCACAAATAACAAGGGAAAGGAAAAGAGAATTAAGGACCGGCCATTGGACCCCTCCACCGACCCACAATAAGAAGTATCAGTTAGATTTTGATTGACTGAATATGTCTTATGGCGCTATGGAAACAATTTGTTCACGTTATTTAAGTGTCACATACAGATTTTCCTAACATCGACACCATAATTCAGAGAGAGAGAGGAGGGGGGGGGGGGAGAGATAGAATATAAGAGTATGAAAATGATACACTCAAAGCGAAAAAAACTGTGCATGATTCCCCCTCATCATCATGCTGCTCCTCATCAGACGAATTATAAAGTAGGAGCAAAAATGATTTAGGCCTACACTTTCACTGGTCATTTTTCAGGTGATTGTATTATGCCTGTGTTAAAGTTTAGCCTTCAATTTCAAAATTTCCTACCATTTGAAAAAGTTAAATGTGTCCCGCGCGCTCATATGACCGTCTGCAGTTGCGAGCGCCGTAAAACATTTACAACAAAAAAAAAGTTTTGCCACTAAGGTTAGAGAGAGTTGTGATGTAGGGCATATATGTGTAAGCTAATTAATTGCGTGTGAGAAGCGGGAAGTGCAGTGAACGCTCCCATTTTTTGCGTGACGTAGATTTATTGTATTTATTTATACATGTACATGAATTTATGAAGGAAAGGGTTTTAATCTTGTGTCAATTGTTGTGGATAAAAGATGACTATGTTGAGTCAAATTGATACAAACTGCGCTGCTGTGAAAAGTATGGGTAACACGTGCTCGCCCGTTGATGATATTCGCTACCTCAGAATTACAAAGTTCTGACATTTTTGATCGTTTTGAGTTACTAAGACCATGAGGTCAGAAACCCAAAGTTCTATCAGCTTCATCAAACTCGTAGACCTAGGTTTATTCGAAGTTGTTTTCAAGAATGTATTAGAGAATTGCATTCGAAAAAGCTTGACATGTGACAACTTTTTAATGTCAAATTTCTCAAAGTACTGAGCAGATAGAACCTTGCAATTCTGGGCTATCTTGGGAGTGGAATTGACCGAGGAGGAACGAGGAACTAGAGTTGCAGAAATTAAGTCCCACATCGGAAAGGCACACGACAAGCTGCTTCCAAATCTTTGAATATCATTTGGAGGACCAGCTAGGGATATATCGCTCTGAACAAAGCTGAAGACTTTTGACTTAATTTTGTTGAATGGACAATGACAATGACATGACAATGACAATGATAATCTTTATTCATCTCGCAGGGAGAAATTTGTCTTGGTGGTTAACAATGGCAGTAGACGTTACAAAAGTTAGACCTAAAGGTGCACTCACGCAAACGCACAACAAGACAGGACATTAGGCCAAGTAAATACATGTCTCACGTGCTGGGACAACTCGCTCCATAAAAAAACACTCTCTCTCTCTCTCTCTCTCTCTCTCTCTCTCTCTCTCTCTCTCTCTCTCTCTCTCTCTCTCTCTCTCTCTCTCTGTGTGTGTGTGTGTGTGTGTGTGTGTGTTTCATTTGTAGCACTGTGTGTTCAGTAATCTCACTGTAGTTGATACGAATGAATTTCTATATAAATCTGTCTGTTCTTGCTTTTTGGAAATGTATCGTTTACTGCGGGTCGATAGTTGAAATTCCGGTGTCAGTGGGTGGCTATGATCACTAAGCAGTAGTGACGCAAGACATGGAACGCATATCATCAAATTTGCAAAAAGGGGATAATGGGTTTTCTTGACCAAGTATCTGAGAAAGCTACTCAGGATTAAATAGAGATGCATGGTCTTCAACGAGGAAGTGATAAGGAGAAAAAGACAGAGCCCAGTCGGAGATGAGTGGGAAGAAGACGATGGTTATGGATTGGACGTAATCGAGGTGTTAGCGCCTCGGACACAATACATGTAATATACTCTCGGGAAGCGATGCGCCAGACAGCTGCATTTTAAGAAAGAAAGTATAGGACTGGAAGTCACATAATAAGAGATCAAGGGGATGACCCTGTGGAACCTGGAGATGAGTCACGAGAGAATGATGTACAGATAAGTAGGAAGACAAAGAATATCAAGAGCCGAACCCAGAGTAGGGGAAGGTGGAATTTTAAAGTGTTTGTTTGTGATCTATGCCCTGATAGTGATAGATGTTGATTAAGGCAGAGATGGTGACTGTAAATATCACGTTTACATTCGTAGCGTAGTACGCTCTCTTGATTCTGTAAGAGTAGACACGCTGATGTCTGCGTGCCCTCTTATAACTCCTACTTTTAAGTTCCATATTATACCGCTGCATTCATTGTCTCATAATTGCCCATTTAGTATAGTGCGTCAAAAATTCGTGGCGCAACTTCTTCAAATAGATATATCTTTTTAACAGGTGAATCATTGTCATCCATACTTTGCCCAGCAGTTTGTATCACTTTGTCTTAACTTAATTATATTTTCCAAAACAATTGATGCTAGATTTGTGAAAATTTCGCTTCATAAATTTATAAAATTATATTATTAATCTCTGTCACGCGAAAAATATAATTGTTCACAGCACTTATCACATCGCACACAGAATACGGTATTTTGAGTAATATGGCCTACCTCACAGTTCAGCAATGACACTTTTTAGTGGAAAAACTTGTAACAAGATATTAATTTTTATATTTCCTTTTTATAATCTAGTAAACACTTATTTATTAGCACTTTGCACTTAAAGGTTCTCAAAACATGTGTTCAATAAGCATAGGCCTAAAATCGCGATTAGAAAAAAACCAAACCCAAACACAACCGACGGACTTTCTATGTAGATCTAGACTAGCCTATATTACTGTCCCAGCTGTAACTTTAAAAAATCTGTAGGCCTATTATTAGTACATGTATTTATTCAGGAATTTTCTAGAATACAGTACACAAGTGTTTTTTGTTTTGTTTTGGTTTGGATCTTATGACGATACGACGACCGGTGCCTTTGTTTTGCTAGTCATTGAAATAAAAACCGTGATAACGGTATTTTTCAAGAAATCATGTTTATCACATGTTTACCCCCCCC